CCTACATTTCCATATTTTGCCAAATAACATATATTTAAAACTCCAAACGCACATTTAAACTCTAAAATGAACTGTTATCCTAATTTTATGGAAACTCGGTAGTAGGAAAACAAATTTGCATTCATTAAAGATGAATCACTTCTTTAAATCAGCTGCCCGTGCTCTTCACACTCCACCTCTCATTCCTCTGGCTAAGTTGGTACAACTGCAGGTTCAGGTGTGCAACACAAGGTAGTGTGTTGTGTTGAAGTGGGCATCTCGTGGTAAGCTGAGGAGAGGTGAGGTTACAATACTGTCTAGTCAGGCTCTGCACACCTGGCTGAACATGCTATACATGCTCACTGAAAAACCAGAGCATGAAAGACTGTAGACATCATGGTGTTATCATCATTTTATAAGCAAGTATTTAAAAAAAAACAATAAAAACTAAAAATAGGAGTGTATGCTGGTAGATGCATATATGTATGTGCAAAGATATATTCACAAAGAAGCATATGTGCACATTCTTATTTATAAGTCTATCTAAACATATAAAAAGGTGCGTGCGTGTGTGCGTGTGTGCGTGCCTGCGCTTGTAGGGACAAGGGTCAACACTGAGTGCTTTACTCTATTATTTTCCAATCTTACTTCCTCAGACTACGTTTCTCACTGAACCTGGCACTTGTGGTTTTGGAAAGAAGGATCTTCCCTTCTCCACTGCCCAACACTGGGGTTATAGGTGTGTAGTGCCATACCTAACTCACCTCCTGTGGTTAGGCAGCAAGCACGTAACCCAGGGGGCCATTTTCCCAGTTCTAAACACATAAAAGGTTTATATATGAAAACAACAGAAAACACTTTTAGTTCCTAAGGCATAATTTTGTTAAAATAACTAGCTTTCTCTATTGAATAAATAAAAGAAAAATGGGGCAAGTACCTTTATGTTGTTATTTTCCTAAAGACGGAGATAAAAGGAGACAGTCTATAAATTATAGTCCAGATCCCACCAGAAATGCTCTGGAGCTGAGAAGAAAGGCTCCTCTGGTCTTCCTCCCACTCAAATACAAGTGTCTTGAAAGTAATATCACAGCACATTCCAGACAGGTTTAAAAAGATCAACCCAAAGGAAGAACCTGAGAAAGAACATCTTGAGAATCCTCCAAAAAGATGGGGAAAGGCCACTTTGAATCAGCAAGAGCAGGTGCCTTGCACAAGTGAGCGTGGAGAGGATGGAGGTGGGGGTAGTGCAAGGCAGCAGGAGTGCCATCCTAGGCTTTCCCTCCTCTGCCAGAACACTTTCTGTCTGTCTGCTTTGGTGCCTGGCATCACTCAGGGCAAAGCTGGAGGATCACTAAGTGTCCTTCTTTGTTTGCTTTTTATTGCTGTGATAAACACCATTACCAAAAACAACTTGGGGAAGAAAATGTTTATTTGGCTAACATGTCACCTCACAATCCATCAGTGAGAGAAGTCAGGGCAGGAATTCTAGCAGGAACCTAGAGGTAGGTTCTGCAGCAGTCTATAGACAAACACTGCTAACTGGCTCACTTAGCTTGTTCGATCATTCAAACCAGGGCTACCTGCTCAGGGTGGTCCTATCTACAATTGCTTGAGATCCTACACATTAATCATTGATCAAGAAAATGCCTCACACACTTGCCTACAGGCCAGTCTGATGAGGATATTTTCTCAATTGACGCTCCCCTTTCCTAGATGACCCTAGTTTATGTCAAGCTGACAACAAGGTGCCTAGCACAGTGGGCTATAAGAGATGGGGAAAGGACATGAAGGTGGCAGGACACTGGTTTGTTGGTGCATCTGTACTATCCAACTGAGCCTGCAGCATTGACTGCTGCCTATGTCAGACCCATAGCTGCTTCTCATTGTTTTAGTTACAAATAAAACCAAAAAGAATATAAATTAAAAAAATTCCAAGTCTTATTTTAAACCTAATCACTAAGGATATCTGTAAATGTCACTAACATTGCTCCAAGCCCACCCTTCTGTCTGTCCTGGATATGCAGGGTGACTCACTATCAGAACCCTTCAATTCAGGGATGCTATGCAGGAGTTCAAGCCCCAGAGGTTGCCTGCAGCCTTGAGTATGAATAAGAAGAACAAACAGATGCACAGAACAGGAGGACCAAATACAAATCAAATACCACTGTGTGTGTACTGGTGGGGGTACATTTAAGTAGAAGACATGGGGTGCTAGACTTCAACTATTTTAAGGTCCTTGGATCGTTGTAAAGAAAAGCAAAGAGATGGGCTTTTCATGTGCACAGGGCAACACTTCTAGGGAGACTACACGACAGAACAAAAAGAATGACAAGGATAGAAGGGACTACAAATTCAAAAGGGCACAAAAATACTGAGGTAGGACATATAAAGTCAGAACAAGTGTTAAATGCAGGCAAGTCATTTAACAGAAATAAATGTAAAGATGATGAAGGACTGAAAAACAAAAATACCTAGCTACACACTGTATCTAAAACCTTTTCATTCACTACAAAGGGGAAAAAACAATTCTAGGTCTGTAAACATTTAATAACAGCCTTAAAACACACAAATGAACCATAGAAATGAATAAAACAAAAATCACGGTAAGATGTACTTAAAAAGTTAGGGAGATTTCCTTTATAGGAAGCATGCAGATGATTTTAAAATCCCATGACATCTACCTAATGACGTGTACAATTCACTCTAGACAATACAAATACTCCTAAGCACACATGGACATTTATAACTGACCACATCATGCAAACAATAACAAAGTAAGTGTCATGAGAATCTGGAGGTGATAAGGATCTGGAGGTAAGTTCCAGAAGAAGTCCTGAAATATGTTGTCATTATGCTCAGATAAAAGTGGATGTGTAGCCTAATATACCTGGAGTGGTTATATTTCAATGTGGCCACCAAGAAATCTGGAAGCTGGCATCATTTTCCCCATAGGAAAAAGCCTGCCATTCTATCCCTTTAAGGTGAGTACAGTTTTAGCCTCTGCCTGGGACCTGTGCAACCTAGTCCAGGAGTAGCACTCTTCCTTTCAGAACTGGGCACTACTGTGCAACTGGCCTAAGCTGAAGTTCCTAAGCAGGGGACACATTTTTCTTTTTACTCTGAACAAGTATGTTTCCCCTTTGGGCTATGTAGAGTGACAGTGGGTGTGTGCAAGGGGAGATCAATGTATACATAAGAATGGAGGGGAGACAGACACTGGGAAGGACATAGAGAGTGGATGGTGAAGGAGGAGGAGGTGGATGGTGAAGGAGGAAGAGGTGGATGGTGAAGGAGGAGGAGAAGGTGGATGGTGAAGGAGGAGGAGAAGGTGGATGGTGAAGGAGGAGGAGAAGGTGGATGGTGAAGGAGGAGGAGGTGGATGGTGAAGGAGGTGGTAGATGGCACAGAGGCTTGGATCAATGCAAGCCATTCATCCGTAGGTTGAAAGAGTACCAACTAAGAAATGCATAAGGCTCTGCATATCTGAGTAAATTCTGTGATAACTGTTGAAGAAAAACAGAGATGTAATATCACACTTACACTCTGGTTACTTGCACTACCTAGTTGGTCTTTGGGGACTAGGATCTGTCCTTGAGTTCACTTACAGTATTCAATATGAGCACGCATGATATCTGCGATGATTTGTACATATGTAACTTCCCAAAGCAGGTATGTCCAGGAGCCCTTTCCGTACACTGTGTCACCTGGTCCTGGCACTAGACACAAAGCCAGCTGTTCACACAGTCCATACCCCTTGGAGAGTTAGTGGAGGAGAGGAGTGTCAACAGAAAAGACAGGCATCAGTACAGACCCACACAGAACTGCAGTCACTGACAGGACAGCAAACACCTGTGACTTCGTGATGGGACCTTTCTAAGGCTTAAGGGGTGCACTTAGGTGACATGTGAATGGCAAGGAGCTAACTGTGGGTACCTGGGTAGACAGCACAGCGAGGTATGAGAAGCTTAACATGTAAACAGTCTTATGTTATTCTTGGAGAGGTGAGAGAAGGCAAGTCTGGTCTGTGTATCTGGCAAGGCTTGGAGACAGGATTTGCTCAACAGCAACGATAATCTAGTACATGTTTGTGCTTCCCAAGGCCAAAAGTTATGGAGCCAGCTAGCTTTGAGATTGTGTCAGAAAAATGAGAAATGTCCACACGAGCAATGATTCAGTATCGCAATGGCAGTGGCATACAAGAGCCTTATTGCTTGTAACATTGTCACTGTAACTGACATTACAGATGACGGTTAGTCTAGATTCAGACTTCATTCAGGATCCACAAGGTTTATTCATATGAAAATTCTCAGTCTTTTATATAAGTGAACATACAAACACAGACACACTAAGGGTATGTTTTTAAAGATACCATTTTTGTGACTGTTCATATTATAAATGAGTCTTTAAATAGGTATTGAATATTAACTGTTTACTTATCAATCTCGTTATACTGCTTATCATTTTGAAAAACAGTTCCTTTCAAAGAGTGCCTTGGTCAGCACTTTATCTAACTTGAACAATCTATCAAATCCTCCTTTAAACAGCAGGGACCTTTTGGCTTGTTTTCTGAGAGACAGCATCTTGCTATGAAGCTAGGCCCCAGCATCCTGACTACAACTAAGGATTACTGGCTCACACCACTAGGCCTGGCTTTTAAATATAGGTATCTTTAAATGTCAACAACGTATGTAAACCCTAGAGCACTGGACATAAAATAGCAACCAGCAACTTGTAAAAATTTTCTTCTTAGATTCACATTTATGCTTGCACAAGAGGTGTCTTCCATCTATTAAGACAGCATTACTAAAAGCAGAAAAAGAAGTTCTCTCTAAAGTACTCTAGCAAAGCCAGTCAAGTCCCAAACTGTACTTCTACAGGCAACTTGTTACATTCACCTGGGTTCCTGGCCCCTTCCACCTCTACAGCTTTGACTGGAACTTCCTTCATGTGAGACAAAACAATTTCAGCAAAATCATACACTATGAAATGAGACATTTGTTGTCTTCTAATTTTAAACCTACCTTATGGGAATGATGTAGGAAAAGAGAAGGAGGAACCGAAAAAGATTACGGTACCATGGACCTGCAAATCCCTGTAAGGTTACCATAACAACAGAAAGAACAACTAAAGCCAGAAATAGCGCCTTTGTCAGCTGATTGAGTTCAAGGTCCAGCAAACCAACCTGAAAAACAACAAAAAAAAGCGCAGCATTAATACACAACTCAAACTGGACCCATCTGTAGTATCCTGACCAGAATACATGAACATGGTGACTTGATAAAATGAAAAGTTTTAATAGTCTTCATAATAATGCAATAAAAAACATTTGATTTTCTCTTGACAAGCCTCTTCGAGAATTAGATACAATTTTTGAAAATGTACTGTAACCTGCAGAGCATTCTCAGGGTAAAACAGTAGACCAGAGCAGACAACTCAACCAGCACAGTTAGCTCCACTGTGTGGGTGATAGGATGATACCAACCATGACAACAAGATCAAGAATTACAAAGCAGGGCACGGGTAGCCTTCTCCACACCCAGCCCTACATCAAAACTCCTCTGTGAGCAAAAAAGTCCATCTTCTGTGGCATGCCAGATCGACAAGCATCCCTGTTGTCACTCTCAAGTATCCCTGCACGTCTTCCACTCAGTTCCAGAGTTCCCCAAGTAAAGGACAGTATGTGTATCTGCCTTTCTGCAAGTCTCCAAAAGAACTTACAAAGAAAGGCCAAGCATGGAGGTCATTTTAGGATTAGAACCTGCTTGATTTATGCAAGTCCTACACTTCTTATTCCTCCAATGTGACATGCAACACTGAAATTCACCCTGGGGATGGATTACTAGCTAGGCACATAAACGTAAGGAAAATTACACCAAAGAAAGCAGTTCCCTTGACTTTGGAAACAGGGAGTAATGATACCCAAACAGCCCTTGCCCTAAAAGTAAAGAGAACACAAACTCAGCTCTTCTGAAATGTGTAACTCCAATTTCGAGCTCTTGCAATTTCTGTGGATGGCTCCTCCCTACTTCACCCACAAAGACCAAGGTACAGTAGAGTGTGTACAGGAGAGGTGTGCTCCTTGAGCTTCTGGTGAGCAGTATGAGAGGGAGGAATGAAGGCACACAGAAGCTGAGGATACTGGAACCTGTCACTCGGACTTGGACTCTGTCCCCTGAGTATATAACCCTGGGCCAGTGGGCCTCCAGTTTCATTACTGTAGAATGAGGAGCCATCGGCACCTCCCTGACAGGACTCAGGGAAAGAGAGTGACATTGTGTGCAGTATCACACAGTGCATCTCTGTAAGTCCAGCAGGCGTGCTGTTTTCACTGTTCTACATTCACCTTTAGAGCCAGTTACTCTTCAGATAATCTGTGTGAATTTGGGGGATAGCCTCGGGAAAAAAAATTATTTACTGTTTTTTACAGGATCTTGCTCTGTAGCTCTGGTTGACCTGGAACTCCCTACACAGACCAAGCTGGCCTCTAATTTGCATTGATCTTCTTGCCTCTAACCTCCCAAATATTGAAAAACAGGCATAAGCCATTACAGCTGGCCCAGCACCAAACTCTTCTATGACATGAAACTATCCATAGCATAAAGGTAGTTGGAGGAGCCAGGTCATTGGGGCACACACATAATACTGGGCATGGTCACAGCCTCTGCCTAACGTGGCCTACTAACAGTGTATAGAACTGAACTGGCTGTATCTGGACTCAGGAGGTGTGAACAGCAGAGAGAGTGCTACCAGGCTAAGCAGCTCTCCGTGTGCCTCAACTTCCCCTGAATCTGGCATAGCTTTTGAAAAAAAGGAAAGAAAATGGGGGAGGGGAGAGAGGGGATTGTGGGAGGGAAAGAAGAAAGGAGAGGAAAGAAATAGGGAGAGAAAAAGGGAGAGGGAAAGAGAGAATATGATTGCCAAAATCTTAATTAGAAAAAAAAAAGCAAACAAAATAAAACTCTAGCTCTTAAATGTACAAGTCTGAGAATTAGCTAAGCTAATATGGTTTATTTTATAGTGTCTTGGAAAATTAGCTTTTCCCACAGTTAATAATTTAGTTTAAATCTCGTTTTGATTAATATTTGCCACAAACTCTTCTGAGACCATGAGAAGCCATTGTTAGAAAGGAAAAAAAAAACTAAGTTTCTCAAAAGTTCATTAAGTACAATTGCAAAGAAAACTAATTAAGCAAGTAATTACATGCCTCCTACACCTTGTGCTAAACTCTAAGGTTATGAAAATGAGTTAATTATGAGAATTCCTTTTTACCTGCAAGAGTCTACTAAGAAAAACAAAATGAACGTTGTTTTTCTTACTATATGTAATGTACTATATGTCTTATGGAAGCTCTTCTTATGGAACCTGGTCTTCTCTGACCAGGTTCATGTCTGAACTACCCTAGCAAACACTACAGAAATAAAAGGGGCATCGCCCAGGACCCAAGAGAACAGCTGGTGCCTGCAGCACACCAGTGCCCCAGGGCTGCAGGGCTGCAGACGGCTCCTCCCTGCATGCCCAACACATCTGCAGCATGCATTCACTTGGGCTCCTCGCCCCGCCATGACCATGCAAGGCTCCTAATCAAGGAAATTTCAAACAAAAACTACATGCCGGATTCACACAGGTGTCACCTCACTTCTTTAGGGACAAACAGGGCATGGCTTGGCACAGAGACTCCTCTGCACATTGCAGCTCATTTCAACAGAAACTCCGTGGACTGAAGACTCCCAGCTTTCCATGTGCTCCAGTTCTCAGCGGCAGATGCACTGCCTTGGAGCCCAGTAAGTCATGTGGGAAGCGCCAGGCTCTTGGGAGCCCTCCCATCTTCAGGTCTTGCACCCGAACAGTGAGGTGACTACTTCCCTAGAGAGCGAGCACTTTGAAAGGAACAGTATTCAAGAGTCCTACTTCCCCTCTTGAGAAGGAGGCCGCCCAGAGCTCAGTGGCTGATTTATCAGCTCATTTAAAAAGCAGCACGAGGACGACGAATACCAGGCGATTTCCGCTCCCTCACTACTACGTAGTTTATGCTTGAATTATTGAGAAAAATAGGGTTTGGGATTAAAATGAAGAAAAATTAAGCCAGGGAAGTAGAGCATGTTTCAAAGCCCAGATCTTTCTGCTGTGACAAAGGCGGTCTAAGTTTCAGGCCTCACTGAGGATCAGATGAAGTCATTATTCATTCAGTCAGGGAAAAAAGACTCAATTACCTCAACCTAAAGATGCTATCAATGAATGCAAAGTGCATATTTTACTCTATTCATCCAAATCCCATTAAAAAGTGAAAGGAATGATTTAATCTGGCCTTCCAGAGTTGGCCTTTTTTTTTGTAATAAAATAAAGAATTACTGTCTTGTGAAATGCATAACCACTACCTCTCACACTCTCCCCTGCATCATAGCAGTGAAAGACCAAAAGCTCGAACAACCTCTGAGAAATGAATACAAAGTTTCCTTTGAAAAAATGCCACATAGAGGATGAAAACACTAAAAGCAGCCCATGCCCAGGATATGCAGATAATTCAAGGCATTAATACCTTTCTAATTGACCAAGACAAATGTAGTTGACTGCCCACCAGTGGCTATCAGCTCTCCCACTCCCTTCAGGCAGAAGAAGGTGACAGTGACAGGCACAGAAGGGTCAGACATCGCCCTCCCTCAGACAACAGGACAGTTGTCCTCATGTTCCTTCAGGGTGCCTTTCCTGCTCTTCCTGGACTGGATGGCAACCCTGACTTGGGTTAATTCTAAGAAAGGGCAGCAGTAAGAAAAGACATTTCCAATACTAGTTTGTTTAAAAAAAAAAAAAAAAAAACAAAGCCATTTTCAATTAGTAATCTTTTTATATTCAATTTCTCTGCAATACTTTTTTAAAAGTTTCTCCATCTAAGGGCTAAGATGGACCCAAAAAGTACTTCAAAGAAAAACTAGTTAACTACAAAATTACAGAATCTATAAAGTGTCACCTTCAGCTTTGATGTGTATTTCCCACATTATTAAAGAAAGTTTTAAACACCTGAACAAGGCAGACCTTCTGTTATGATTGTAAAACCTTTTTTATCCTTAAGATACATGATTAACCACTTGAAGTAATTATGACTGTATGAGAAAAGGTAAATTAAGTGCTCTAGGAGGTAATTTCCAACATTTACTGTAAATTCTTATATTAGTAAAGCAAATTTTCTTCTGCTTGTCATAATATTTGTTTTATCTGAAACAACTGTGATAACAAAATTAAATACGCTACTGGAAATTTTAATCTCCAAGGGAAAATGTGTGCATAATGCCGAAGACAACCACAATGGCTCTGCAAAGGGGCTGTTCTAGGATAATGAACACAATAATTGCCTGTATAATCTAAAATGCTACTAATGGCAACGATCACAAATCCATTTAGCTCCTCTTTAATTTATGTACCAAGTTTTAAATAGCTAATGGTTCTCAGTAAAATAATGGTTTATACCAACAATAAAGGGTAAATACGGTGTTCTCCTGCTTAATCAAGAAAAGATCAGTCAGTTTTTTTTTTAAATGAACACATGGATGAATGAGACTCGGACCTTATCTCTTTAGAACAGTACCATTCCCATCCATCTCCAAGTTAATAGTACCAGCACAGACTAAGTTCCTAAGAAATCAATGTGTACCCCAAACTGGAGCAAGAGCAGTGTGTTATAAAACCTCAGGCCTACCCACTGGTTTTTAAAAGCACCACATGAAATACAGCTCTGAAGCACCAGGAACTACTGGTAACATCATCCTCAGATTAGAAGAATCAAATATTACAGCACTCTTACTAATCCACTAAAATTCACATGAACTCATTCTTTACATGGAAGTATTTCAAAACCACAAAATTTCAAAGAGCCAATTTACACCCCTGAAGAAAACTATATATTTTAATTTGCCCTATGTTTTCCCTGTGAATAAAGTGCAATTTGAAAAAGATATAAGCCCCTGATCAAATGTCTAACTCATCTGAGACTCCACAAACTTGAGTTTATCTTTAAACAAGATGTTTAGGGAGGAAACTCTAACTGTTAATATCTTTTTACTAGCTTTTTTGGGACTAACTATCATCTCTTCATTCAGATTAAGAACACTGATGTAGAACGGCCATGGACCTAACTGGATTCCTATAAAGAAATACTTGTTTTTCAATATCTTTGAAAGAAAGCAGTTT